TACGGGTTCCGTGTAAAGAAGCACTTGTTTGAGAACGGTGGTGTGGTGAATCGTGTCGATTCACGACACGATTACCGCTCACTTGTTGCCACGGCGCCAGACTCGCCGCCGCCTTCCTAACAGAGGCCCCATCAACCTGTGAAAGCGTCTGTTCATGTACCCCTGTGCCGCCCCTGTGCGTGTGCCGCCCCTGCTACGCGCGCCACTCCCTTGGCCATTTACTCACGTGTTCTACTATCAATTCATTCACACTGACTTGACCAACAACCCTCGGCAGACACACACGACACTTTAATCGCAGTCGCACACAGCACAACTAGGTTGAGCCAGCTAACAAACGAATGAACGGTTTGTCGTCGCTCTCACGCCCACCCTCTTCTTTCCACTGGGACAATTCTAGCCCCAGCCTTGGCGCAGCAGCAGCAGCGCTTCGGAAACTTCAAACCGAGCCTAGCAATGATGTGGCAATGCAGATTAATGTAAATGCAGAGACATGGGAAATGGGCGATTGCGGCTTCTCGAGCTCATCCTATCCACCGTTCTAACTGGCAGCCCGATCCACCTGTACACCGGCCACCGTCGTAAACTCCTACATGACGCATAACCGCCTACTGACAAAGTTTAAGTACAATGCTTGCATGATTGTAGAAAATAGCGGAATTTGAGAGGCTGCTTGTGCAGCGGAGACAGTTGCTTAGGCGACAAGCGGATCTTACTGACTGGTTGGCGATCGCCGAAAAGGAAGTTGACGCAAGCATACACCAACTATCGAACCTACAATCGCATGAAAGCATCAACCAGGGGAGTTTAGAAGCTGACGCAGAATGGATGCATCACATTCGTCGCATGCAAGTACGTTCACGTGACTTGAGAGGCCAGTGCAAGTTGCGGGTCTCTGCCACCGAGGCCAAATTGCCTTGAATTTCCATTTAGTGTCTCGAATCAGAACTGGTGGAGAAGAAGAAGGAGGTGAAGGAGCTGGAGAGTATGTATATTCAGGTGCCTTCGTTGAGTGAGGGCTGGTGCCAGGCGCTGTCAGACGCCACGAATCGATTGAGCATGCTTGAATTGCACATCAAGGTGAGCGAATTGGTGTCAGTTGAAGCCGTAACCTTGAAGGCACTAAGTGCCCTACTGGCGCACACAATTGGTAGCGTTTCCTGAATTGTAACTTGGTGTTGCTCCGAGATGACAACATCGCATCTGGATTATAGGAGCATGTTTGGTTCCTGAACGACATCCAGCAGCTGCTGGAGAGCCTCAATCAGACGAAAAGAGGTCTTGAGGAGTGGATTTCGCGCGCCAGAACAGTGACTAAGGAGGCGCACCACAGCGGAGACCGGCCGAGTTTGGCCGAGGGAGCTGGCATGCTGCAGCAGTCGAGGCGCCTCGTCCACCGACTGGTAGCCATGGTGTTGAGCAGGCACCAAAATCGAGTGCAGTCGGCACTAGCAGGGAGTGCAGAGGAGATGCATCAGGCATTAGGTGGCTGCACCAGTCCCATCGCAGCAATAGCCCGAGGTGTAGTAAGGAGGTTTGAGGATGCACGGAATGCATACGAGAGGCTATGCCAGTCGACAAACATGGTAAGTAAGTAAGCAAGGACGAGAGGAGTTGTAAGGTGTGCAGACGGTTAGGAGTGGGGTGAGCCATGAAGTGGGGATTGGGAAGAGAGGTGGAAGTCACCGCACGCCCACTGGGCCGCCCGACGCCCACCATTCACAGACGCTATCCTGCTACTACACCACGTGGGGGCTTTCGGCTGCTGAGTTTCCTCCCTGGCCCTCCTCCTTCCCTCCTTAGACGACCTGGAGGCCACAAGTCTTCCGACATGGCCCCCATATCGACGCCGTGCTTAGCACGGACGCCCGAT